GCATGTGTGCTTAAAGCTGTATACTTCAGTATGTGAAGGTTAGTGTTTCGGCTTATCTACGCTATCGATATCTACCAGACAACATTTACATGGACAACATGTTAATGAACATATTTAATAACATGTTGTCTGTATCTGTGTTGTTTTATAGGATAAGCCGGTCGTAAACGAGCAAACGGACCACCTGATGGTAAGCCATCGTCCTCGCCCATGGACATATGGAACACCAGAGGCGTTACAAGTGCGTTACCGACCTTTTGGGCATTATAAATTTAAGGATTCTTGGGATTCAGGGATTGGGGAGATTAGAAAAGGGGAGAGGGGGTAATTGGGCCTCCGATGACCTCAGTCACACGACGAAAGACAATGCTAGCGTTGTTTCACGTTAGTTTTCGGTGAGGCCGTGGTATCACTCCGGTGGAGCCGGCCTATTTGTCCTGAAGCATGGCTCTCCCACACTTCTACATAATATTGTATGTTTGTTCTTGTGTTCTAACAGTAATCAGATATGTTTGTGTTTATATTTAGTCTATGGAACACAAGTAAGACGGTAAACATTAGAAATTAGCCTAGAATTAGACACATAACAGAGATTAAACTGTCACACACCAAGCGGTCACCGGTGACCGCAACCTATTGTTCTATTTGTGTCTATAATGACATTACTCAACGAGTTAAACCAGTTATTGTCATTACAATAAACCTTGTCATTGATAGCAATATTCCTAATTCCATTGCCACAAGAATATAAGTTTTTATTGCGTCCATAATGGACAATTGTAACCTTAATACTTTTTAATCCATTGGGAAATTTTGGGCCGTGTAAATTCAATGTAGGTCACGTGGAAAATTATATTTTTTGTATTTTACGAAATTGTGCGCATGTCGTTGGGATCTATCATAAAACTGAATGATAATAAGTATTAACAAGTGTCAATAAAATATTTTGAATCGAAAACGGAAGAATCCGTAACTACTTAAGTCCTTAACTACTTTACAGACAAGCATACATATTTTTTATAGTTTAAACATTTTCTTTTTTGTTTTTTCTTAAACTTGCCCCCACACTAATATTTTCTCCTGTGTCGTAGGTGCGTTTGCTAACATACACTTTCACTCAGACTCGAAACAACAATATGTGGATCTCAGAAAGAGTTCCGTGCGGGAACCGAACCCTATCGTACAGTCAATAAGATCAATAAGACTTAAATTTGATTTAAATAAATAAAGACACTGATAAATAATGTTGGTAGCTAACTCAAGATTGATATAAAAAATCCTGAGATATTGTAAATATTTCAAATATCTATAACCTTTTTTACTTGTCAAATAGTCTAGAATTCTTTATATCTCTTTGCTTCTCGTTCACATCAGAGACACGTTTCATGAGCCCACCAGTCGACATGATGACAGTACCTACAATCGACTTATTACCGGTTGCCATCTATAAAACTTGAGTAGGTACATAACTAGCACGCGATCGTAATCTCACATGTATTGTTAGACTAGTTATTAATATCGATTTTAACTGCATTATAGTTTGTGATAAACATCTACAAACTCACTACAAGACGCTGCTGATTGGCAGAAGAAGCCGAATGTGGTGTTATATCTTATGATCTGTCGTCGGCGGTATTTCCGAACCGATACGACTTTCAAACCTTCAAGAAAAGAGCGTACTCCTTTTTAAAAGGCCGGCAACGCACCTGTGACTCCTCTGGTGTTGCGGGCGGCGCTGATAGCTTACCATTAGGTGATCCGTCTGCTCGTTTGCCTCCTATTCCATAAAAAAAATTAAAAAATAAAGTTATATTAGCTAACTGGCTTCTGCCAACGGATTTGCTCCGGTGTCCGTAGATTAAAAGTAGCCTACGAACTATTCCAGATTATAATCTACTCTTGTTCAAGATTTCATTCCGATACCTTCAGCCGTTTTAATGTCAAAGAGTAACTAACACACATACAGTTATCACATTTATAATCTTATTAGTAGGATTTGTTTTAAGTGGGGAAAATCATCGAATGACTGCTCCCGCCTGGGTGAGACGAGTGGGAGTGTCAGACTCTTACTGACTAAAAACCACCCCGTTCCTTCTCCTGCACGTCGAGCCGGAGCCCCGGTAATTCGTTAGTGTATTATAAATCACCATACGATTAAATAAAAACCCAGTGTGACATTGCTACCTATATTCTATATAATATTCTTTTCTGTGTAGTGGAGACGAACAAATCCATCACATGTAGATGTAATATACTAGGTTCTCCTCGCAATAAATTCTAAGTGTTTTGTTTCGCGAAAGTTTTCTAAAGTATATTGCAGTAACATATAGCAGGCATTTTCATAATATGCTACGCTATAGTTTCCCACCTAAAGGCTTTTCTGCGATATTTTGCTTGACTGCACGGGGCAAGGGTGGTTGGGCGTCTGGCTGCCGCGCAACGTGTCGCGGGTTCGATTCCCACACGGAACAACTCTTTGTGACATGTGTATGTGAACTTGTATGTTTGTAAAGGCACCCACGACACAGGAGAAAATTCTAGTGTGGGGCAAAAAAACCTTTAAAATAAAAGAAGATTTTGAGTACTTATTTTTTTTCGAATATTTATTTTACGAAAAATCTTTATTATCAAGTTTAGATATTAAAAACTGTAATCGTTCAAAAGTTATGCTCATAGCGTGTGTTCCTACAGGTACACAAAATATATTCGATTTACTCTTCTCTGCATCACCCAAAGGTCAGACTGGTAGAAAATGCCTGCGGCATTAAGTCCACCTTTGTGTACATTCTGTGCATGAAGCATATTAAGTAAATAAAAAAAAAATTCGAATATCAACGATTCTATGTTATTTACTTGGATGGAATACGGATGCTTAACCATGCATTGGTTTATATTAATTGGAACATAATGTAAATTGTTTAAAAAAAGCAAATAAAAAACATAGTAAAAAACATAATTTAATATGTATACACACATATGTGTACATTAATTTAATATGTTTGTTCCTATCCGAAACTGGATTTCCAACTTGAAATAATTGGTAACAACCCTAAACTCGTTATGTAGATGGCTCACCCTTTATTACAATGGACTAATGAGTACCGTAATAACTTATACGGCGGTTGGTGGGTTGCAAACTACCCTTATTATCTAGGTACTTAGGTAGGTCTTTGCATTACCCGTTCTTATGTAGGTTATGTTGGTCTTTCTCTTAATTTAAGTTCTGAGAACATTAATTACTTAATCGTTTTTGAGATTCTGTGAATCTAGCATCAATTAAAAATGTTTATAAAGAAAACAATATTATCATTAAAACAAGAAAGGTTTTTAATGAAAATATTGTGTATTCCGAAAATGTTGGCCATTAAAATAAAACATTAAATATTGTTTTCCATGATTGCAGTACTTTGTGTATGCACAGCGGCCATTAAATCCACCTCTTCGGGGAAAGCCAACATGGCCGCTACATACCAACGACGGCTTTTATTGATGGCCTGTGTAAACCCTTTCACCATAAAATACAACAATTACCCATGAATGTCGATTTTAATTTAACTGCAGCATTGTGGTCATTCCTTTTATTGTTTATTACAAAAACCCTGCGTATAAAATGTCAACGCCCCTTGCTGATTCCATGTAAACAAAAACAATAAGTTAACTTTCTCCCTTTGTGGACATGTCAAACAATACCACAGTATATAAATGTCTAAAGCAACGAAGCTTTACAAAACTTAAAAAACAAAATATAATTGTCTATTACGTCACAACATCTTATTGCACAAACTCCAAATTCAAAATCCCTCGACAGCCGTGAACAGAGCAACACGGCGATACTCAATGGATAACGCTGTCTCACTCTAAACAAAGCCGAAATCGTTATAGAAAGGCGCACGGGGTATAAAATTCTTGATGGCATAACGTCCTATCGATTTTCCTTCTGACGTACGCTTCGGTCCCCTATTTATGTTGAATGAAGCAACGGCCCACGAATGTTTGTGTATGATTCGGACCACTTGATAAAGTGTACTGCGATGTTTTGCTGAGCACCGTTGAATATTAGATGCGGCTTTTAGCATATTGCGTAGAACGGAACACGGACTTACGGAACGCTTGCATAGATAAATTGTTCACGTTCTCAGAGAAAATGGTGGTGCTTGCATCGTTAGAGCATAAGTAATGCTTGAATAATGAAAAAAGACCTCTTGAATAACTTCTCCATAGCTTAAGAATATTATAAATGGCTTTTTATAGCGATGTGTTCATCGAATGGCGTCAGAATAGTTGATTAGTAATAATTGATACTCCAATTGATTTTTCAGGAGGAAAAGTAAATTGAGAAGTTTCATGTTTTTCTAATGTCCGTTTGCGTGGGTTTGTAACCTTGATATTTAAGCTGCCTAACTAAAACTGTAATTACCTTTGTTTAAAAATGTATGTGAGTTAGAATATTCTGCCTAAAATGAAGGTCGACATGAATTGAGCCTGAATAGCTTAGGACTGGCTTCAATATTATACAACATATTTTGCGTATTTGACGAAATATGAAGTAAAATTCTGGAAACGCGGACTAAATGACTCTCAGATCTTTTTGCATTTCAATATTGCCATATACAGTAGCTGTACAACATGAGTAAAGTGCACGAGGGATTAAACATGGGAACTAACAGGAAACCATCAGGGTCAGCGCAAGCGTGTCATGGACAGATAGATACACTATGTACAACAAGCAACCAACGAAACGAAGACAATATTCAATGAAAACAATAAAATTGTTAGTGTACATTCTAATGTCTGAACCAAAACGATGCATTTTGAGTGTTAGCACAAAACCATAATTGATTTTCTTCCAATTTCTCAAATTGGCTGAGACTTATTGTTGTGCGAATCGCAGTTGTTGCCTACAACGACGGCCATTGCTACTGTCGTCTGTGTTGTGACAAGTGCTGCCATCTGCGCTGTGTTGTGGGCCCTGTGTTGATAGAGTGCTGCGTTATGTTTACCTGCCATCCTTGCAGCAGCAGCGAGCGGTCCACAGTCCGCAGCCACATGACGGCGTCCCCAGCTTGGAAGTCGCGGAGGCGGTGACAGCGCGTGTGCAGGAACAGGCCCAGGCACTTGAGGAGCTCCGAGGTGGAGGCCTGGATGACAGTCTTGCGCGGCACCACCACGGGCGGGCCAGAGCTGGTCAGCTTGTCGTAGCATACCACGTTGTTGTTGAGCGCGTTGGCCCGTGCGACGTCTGGCGGCGGCGCGGGCGCGGGCACTGGCCGCGGGTACACGCCCTGCACGCTCACATTCTTGTTGCGGTCCAGCGGCGCATTGTCCGTCAGCGGCGCCCGGAACGTCGCTACACTCTTGCTCTTGCATTCCAGTTTCTTCTTGTTGTTGTTCGCCGTAGAGAACCGTTTCCACGAGAGCGCGTTTATAAATAACGAATGCTTCTTGAGGTTCTTCTCGAGCGCTGTTTTCTCCGATATAATCTTGGCGGCGTCGTCCAGGGTAGCGCGGCGCTCGTCGCGCGGCACCTCTCGGTTCTCGCGGTTCTTGGCGTTGTTGAGGCGCTCGTAAGAGTATGCGAGCGCGGCGCGGTCTGGCGGCGGCGCGGCGGCGGGCGGGCGCCGCTCGCGCGGGCTGAAGCTCAGCACGGTGCCCATGAGGCCCGCGCGCGTGCAGCCGTTAGGTGCCCGCATGCATCACGTTCGCGGCCGGCGACGGCGGCGGCCCGTGTGGGCTCGATAGCGGCGCGCCTGCGCGACGTGGCCGCCGCTATCGACCGCTGCGCGCGCACCCAGCTGACGCCGCCCGCCAGCCCCGGCCCCGCCCGCCCCGGTAAACAAACCCTCGCCACTGCCGCCACCACGGAATTACTTATCGGTTATTAATTCCAATTAAAACTGACGCCTCTCACCGGAGCTGTCGCCATCACGAGCTCAGATCACAAGTGACGACTGCACACCGCGCATAATTATAACCATAGCTGTCCTGCATGGTACCTACTTCAATTGAGAAGTCATTCAACTTTAATTTATGCATCTCTATCAATTGTCACTCAATATGCACGACACGACTGCACGTCCGCAATCTCATCGATCATGTTCCGAAGGACACGCAATTAAGCTTGTAATATACTCGCATGTAGTACTTGTCTCCGTAAACAAACACTACTTTATAAAATTGCGTCATTTTTCAATTGCAGAAGTAGCTATGAGTTGAGACAGGAGGCAGGCAGGTCGGGATTATTGCGGATGTTACATAATAATGCGGCGGAGCGGTCGCACCGGGACTATAATCGAATCACCCAAACTCCGAGCGCTACCTTCGATAGCCAATGTTTGGGTTCCAATATATGAGGTTGGCGGAAACGACCCGCTGCTTCCATTACGAGCAAGTCAATTAAATGCTTTTGCCTGAAAGAGCATGAATGTTGTCATGTCAGTTGTGTCGTATGTAATGTGTTCACGAGAGCGAGTGCAAGGGGTTGAGTGACAGTGTAGCTGTTCATTAATCATTTATTACTAGCGGTTCACCTGCGACTTTGTTCACAACTTTCCCGTACCAACTTCATTGCCCCTTTACATCCCTTGCTAACTTGAGGGAATATTAGCTTACTGGGTACATATGGTAAAATCAGTCTGGATATGCCTATATATATTACCTTCAATATAGCAGAACTTATTGCTCGTTGTTAAACAGGTCTTTTAACACGTAATGCTTCCAAAGTTATGCCCTAAAACCAGCCACTCCGTGGTGTCCTAGCAACCGCCATCTATCTAGTTTTAACAAGAGTCCCGTGAGACGTCTCACTCAAGTTACCTGTAAATAATAAATCAAGTTAACTTCTTTAGCTCCTTTGGGTGGCTCACGGCAGATCTTACGAGGCCTACGTCCCAGTAGTGGGAATATTATACTGAGAGACTAATTCCATTTCGAGTAAAGTTTGTTTGAATACCTTTACCCACTGTTCTTACGAAATGTACAGTCTGCGTATCGTTTTAAGAGGAAACGTATGATGATGCAGTTCATTATAGACTAGACTTGCCGCAGATTCATTACACCTTAATTTCTCTATAGGCAACACAAAAAAGTAATACATTTTTCTTTACCTGTGTGTCCCCACACCGTGTTCAAACCCAGACTCAATAATATTATGTCCAACCACAGAATCGAACCCGTACCGCTTACTCGACAGTCACTCTTACTACCACTCTGCCAAAGATCCAATAAGTCACGAAATAAAAGTAATTTACAAGAATGATTCCATATCTATGGTAATCTGCTACTGACGTGGAATTCCTAGTACAATGCGTCAGTCCCCAATATGGCGGCTGTTACTTATATTCTGTGAAGGCATGGTTTAATGGCTGTCCGGAGAAAAATGTGGCCATAAAGAACATCGTAAAGCCTTATACCTTTTTTGAAGGCATTTCTTTGTGTTTTGGAAAATATGTTGGTTATTGATAAGTTTCCAAACGAAGGTATAAATTATAACTCAATAAATAGGATGGTCTGATACTAAAGATCTAGGATCTAGTAAGACCTCTTTTGACTGTGTGGTAGGGCCTTTTCAGTCGTGCCTAACAAAACCAATGCCATAAAAACTAGTTACGTTTTCTTAAGTTTCTTCTCCATTCGAAACTACACTTTGGAATGACCACCTAGCTTCACTGACAATTCAATTTGACGTTTCAAATGTACCAATTTATTCAAGGATTAATTGAAATAAATGCTTTTACTTTTGACTTTGACTTTAAAGTACACAGATTAAAGAATTTATTTAAAAACTACGCTGTCGCTCAAAAATGTTAAAAGAAACACGATAGAGATTGAAAGCTTGACCTTGTGTCTCACTGTTGTCGGGTCATTTCATCACGTTTGATTACTTTCACTACATAATAATTAACTACAAAATAAAAATAATTAAAATGTAATCTTCGACTAAACATCAGTATTAACTAATCTTCTTTCTTATCATGCTTAAAATAATAACAGTACCATCAGCTGTAGATTACAGTACGAAACATAAATTTTCTTCCTGAAATCCATTTTGCTAATGGTCGTATACGAAATGCCGTGCGCGTGGCGTCTACGTGGCGTCACCGCCCACGCTGGTAATCAAATCTACTTCTCTATTCTTCACATTTTGTATACATACTTACAGCTTACTTGTACATTCTGAAATTCAAAAATTAAGATTTACATGTTTTTTTTTTAATTTTTGTGGGCCGATATTTGACTCACCTGGAGGTAAGCGATGATGCGGTCTACGATGGAGCAAGTCGTCCCATAAGCAACCTGTTCACTCAGGCCTTGAAGACTCCCAGGTAATACCCTTCAGAAAATACAAACTCAGGCAAAGAATTCCACTCCTTAGCACTACGCACAAGGAAGCTTAATGCGAAGCGCTTCGTGCGTGTAGGTGGGACTTCTACCATGAATCGGTGACGCTTCGCCGATTGTCTTGTGGTACGATGATGGAAAGGACTAGGGGGAATCAAGTGGTACAATTCCCCCGCACATTCACCGACTTGTGTCGTTAACGACCTACCACATACCTAATCATCTTTTTGCAAATTATAAAAAGTATAAAATATATGTCCACTCCGAATACAACTTCAGACTGCGCTAAACTTAAAATTCCAAAATCAGAAATACAATATCTTAAATCACACAATTCTGTTCGAAAATTACACCCTTAAACCACTCAAGGTACGAAAGATTTACAATAATTGACATTCAAAAGGATACTTAGACTTCGCAGCGGAGAAATCAAAGTGAGCAAGCATGCTTGTTGTCCGTGGCCGGGCGAGGTCGCTCCTAATGTCTTTACCGAAGCCCTAGAGTCCGTGCGAACGTAAGCCATTGTTTACCTTCCACCTCACCAGGTATATGTTGAGAACATTCGGGAATTGAATGAGATGGTTTCTTGAATCGATCTGATTGGCTGTTTCATTTGATTTTAGAACTACAAACTAATGGGAATGCATAGTTGAGCTTTTATTTTAATATCAACACCAATATCATATCAGCCAATATCAACATTAACAGGTCGGGATAGTGCATTGCTGGACTATAGAGGTAGATCTCCGCGACTGAAGAAACCGTAATCGCCTCGCTTAGCAGGTTAGGCATCACATTTTACAAGGTACATAGCTCAGCTTATTAAGGGCCAATTTTTCAATTATCAGTTAATTCGTAACTGTAGAATAAAAATTGACATTTGACAGATTTCCCGAAATTTTCCAACGTCAGATCTGAGGAATAACTTTGAATATCGTTTTGGAGACTCGGTAACCAAAGAGGAAAAAAAAGCCTTTGAATTATTCGATAATTCTTCCACACCAAAAACAGCCAAATTTCAATTTTATTCTACGATTAAGAATTAACTGATGATTGAAAAATCGTCCCTTAATATGGAAGAATTACCTGAGCGTATGGCGCGTCGCGTTCCGCGCGCGCCTCAAATAGGGCTAATGCCGATTCGGAGTCGCGGAGAACCTAACGGGTTACCGGGGATCCGGGTCGACGTGCAGGAGAAGGAACGGGGTGGTTTTTAATTAGTAAGAGTCTGACACTCCCTTCCGCCTCACCCATGCGGGAAAAGTCATTCGATGTTTCCCCCCCCCCCTTAAAAACAAAAAAAAAACAAAACAAAACTATGGAAGAATTGTCAAATATTGAAAGTTATTCCTCTATTAAAATTTGTGTGGCATTGGAAAATTAGGCCCTATGGAACGTTTAATTAACTGTCTGGTAAGTCGAGTTACTTGAAAAAAAGAAAAAAAATCTCGTGTTCAATTCACGATGGGCGTAAACTGCTGGAAAATACATGTCGCACCCATCTATCTATGTGTGTATTATAGAACAGATGGTTCCATAGCATAAAAAATTTTTATTTGCTCATTTACCTAATTGGCACAAAGGTGGTTGGAACCGCTAGTTTTTATACACCCTGTAAAAATGGTGAGACCTACATTCCTATATAACGCACCCTGTACATTCAACCCTGCCACCGGCTACCGGATATATTCTATTTTTACCGACTTCATTAGAAAAACAACGATAATTTGTGTTTGCAGATTAATGGTGCTAATTGATAAAGCCTATTTAGATTCGGTTTTTGTTGGGCGTAGATAAATTTACTTACGCCCCAATACTGGCTATTCAATTTTAATTCACACTTAAATCTAGTACACACGGCTACATATCAAGCTTACATAACCAGTATAAACTGAACGGTAAATATGCGGAAAAATGAGGCGACGCCACACCAGGATAAACTGGTTTTGTATAGATTGATGTGTCGCCGTGTGTACCATCTTTGTCATTTTACAAAGAAAGACAAATTGTTTATTTGAAAGAATTTGTAGTTACAGAACTACGTTTTTTATGGAATAGGAGGCAAACGAGCAGACGGATCACCTGATGGTAAGCGATCAGCGCCGCCCATAGACAACATCAGAGGAGCCATAGGTGCGTTGCCGGCCTTTTAAACTGTCAAACACCAAGCGGTCACCGGTGACCGCAACCTATTGTTCTATAATTGTGTCTATAATGACGGTACTCGACGAGGAAGGAGAAAGGAATACGCTCTTTTCTTGAAGGTTAGAAGGTCGTATCGGTTCGGAAATACCGCCGAAGACAGATCATTCCACAGATTTGCTGTGCGAGGCAGAAAATGCTTAAACGCGACTTAGAATTGAGTGACATTTG